TGACTTTCTCATTCCTGATAACTGACAAAGTTCTTGGATGATCTTATTTTCAAAACTGCCGCCTTTATCACTATGGATCCTTCGAGGGAAACCATAATGGACAATGAATTGCTCATATAAAGCTTTTGCTGTTGTGTCGGCTGTCATGTTTCGTGTAGCGATAGCTTGTGCATAGCGGGTAAAATGGTCAGTTATCACAAGGATGTAACTATAACCCCCCTTAGAGTCTTCTAGGCTGAGGTAGTCTATACTTACCAATTCCATCGGTTGAGTGGTCTGAATGTTTACAAGTGGAACTCTTGAATTAGTTGATGTTTTCCTCACTAAACATCTCTGACAGCTCTTGATATATTCATCAACATCTGTTGACATTCTTGGCCAATATACACGTTCCTTTAATAAGGACAATGTCCTTTCTCTACCAAGGTGACCTACGGCATCATGGCATCCTTCTAAAGCTGTTTTTCTGTCAATAATTGGAAGTACGAGCTGATAATTAATTCCTTCAATCGTGGATGTCCTTCGGTATAATATACCTGATTTAATCTCAAGATGGTCAAATTCTCTTAACAAAGTTGCTTCCTCCTGACAGCTTGGTTTGTTCTTTGGCTTCTCCTGTTTCAACACAGCCTCATGAATTGGACCAATTATCGTATCTTCGATCTGCTTTCTTGTCCAATCGATAACATCTGCAGGAAAGGAATCTATTGATGAGAGGTCTGGAATCACCTGTGTTGCTAAACAGGTTACCAATCCCTCATCTAAAGTAAAATCTTGCAAAACTTTAATTATGTCATGAGAGATTTCCCTAAAATTGGTATCTTCAACATCGGGAATCCTTGACAGACAATCTGCATCTGCATTATGCTTACCTGGACAATATTTTATGTTGAAATTATAATTGGCTAATTCAGCTAACCAGCGATGTCCTGTGGCATCTAACTTGGCACTCGTCAAAACATAAGTTAAGGGATTATTGTCTGTATAAACCATAAAACTGTTCCCATACAAATAATCTCTAAACTTTTCTGTTATAGCCCATTTCAAAGCCAGAAATTCTAGCTTGTGTGCAGCATAATTTCTTTCGGACTTCGTCAAACCTCTACTTGCATACGCAATTACCTTTTCCTTATTATCTTGAAGTTGGTACAATACTGCACCTAGTCCGTGTCCACTTGCGTCAGTATGCAAAATGTAAGGTTGTCTGAAATCAGCATAAGCCAATACAGGTGGTGAAACTAAAGCTTCCTTAAGCTTCTGAAATGCAAAATCTTGCTCTTCACCCCATTTCCATTCTGATGCTGAAGGCTGAGACCTTACCTTCCTTCCCCTCTTCTTAGAAGCGGGGCTTCCAGATAACAGTTGATTCATTGGCTTAGCTATTACTGAGAAATTCTTTACAAATCGGCGATAATAGCCTACAAAGCCAAGGAATCTTCGTAGTTCTTCTTGGTTAGTTGGAATTTTCCAATCTCTGACTTTCTCAATCTTAGCAGGATCAGTTTTAATCCCTTCAGCAGAAACTATGTGGCCTAAATACTTCACTTTATTCTGTAAAAATTTGCATTTTGAAGGAGCTAATTTCAAACCACAGTTTTTAAAACATGAAATACTTCTCTAGACGTTCTAAGT